TGCATTGTATAGTGCCTTTTATCTTCTCGGATCTTCTCGGCTTCGTGGTTGTAGCGCTGGTGGGGGATGGTGGGGGTATTTGTTGAAATCTGTGACAGTTTTAAAATGCTTTTAGCCACACTTTTAACAAAGTAAAGATAAGCAAAGAATAGTCAACATTGACGGGGTGAGCAATCATCTTCATCATTCAGCCAATCTGGTAGCGCCTGCCTCCAGGAGCCCGAAGAGAAGAAAGGCGAGGCAGACCACACAGTGGTTGAGGACCCACAAGCATTTCAGCCGGACTCGCTACAGAATGAATGGGGGTTTGAAAGGGCGCTATAAAATGCTAGCGTTCCATTGTTGGGCCTTTTTTTGACCAATGTACAGGATCTTCAATGGATGTGTGAGTGATTGGCTCGTGAGCATTGTGGCCAGTCTGATTGGTAAGATTGGCGTATCGGTTGTGCTAGCCATGCGTTTTGCCATGTGGTTGGCCATTTTCTTGCCGACTGTCGTGCTGGCTGCCAGCACGCGCGGGATTCATCATGATGATGTGCAGTCTTCTACTGCGGATGAAGCACAGTGGTTCTACGCAGATCAGCATCTGCCAGAGATTCGGCAATTCATGGCCCAAGCTGCGAGGACATGCACCAGGAGCATTTCGCTCTTGGATCTCTTTGGTGCAAGCGAAAGGATGAGCAGAGCATGGCAAAGTCACGGCCTGCTGACTGCATCATATGACATAAAAAACGACCAGCAGGATGACATTACCACACGTGGTGGCTTCTTCCGCTTGGCAGAGAGAGGGCTGTTGCTTGTAGCAGGAGCATTGATCTTCGCAGCTCCACCATGCAGTCGCTTGGCTTACGACATCGGCTGTATATGGCTGTATATGGCTTTTATATGCTTTTATAATCCTTTATATTCTTTTATATATTACAATATATTACAATATATTACATAACTCTGTTAGAGTCCCTTATATAGATCCCCTTGGAGATACTTAGAGATACCTAGAGCCATCTAGAGCCTCACTGTTTGCAGCGTCCCTTAGCCTTCTCTAGCTCATTCAGTCTCGCAGCCCGAGGCCTTTTTATCTTTCTGAGTTCCTCTGTGCACCGCCGCAAAGCTGCCAATGATTTTCGCGGCGATCAGCGGCGCTTCAAAGTCCGACTGAGCAACTGCATACTACAGAACATGGCAACTGAGAGCAAACAGATGCAGAAAGGAATACTGTTGCACACTTGATACTGTAAACATCCGTTTTTGAATTCGTAATAGGTATTAATATGGATTAATAGGGGCTAATACAGACTAATAGGGATCAATAGGGTCTAAACTATTCAAACGGTGTCATCAATCATTAGAGACACCATCATTTTATAGTTGTTTCTTTTCAGGTCCTGACCTTTTGTAGTGCCAAACTATGCCCCCCCCCATTTTATAGCTGTAAATAGTGATTAAGTGGTTTGTCCGGCCACCCCGTTACTCACACAGGGATTCTTTTGTTTAGTTGTTTTTGAGTCCCTTTCCAAGCATCCAGGTATGTTTCTTGCGTGAGCTAGCTGTCTTCAGACACTTCTACTTAGTGATAGAGCAACCGACATCGAGTGTCATGTGGAAGGTGCCAGAAATGAAGGACCTCCTGAGCTCTTTCCGAATGAAACGAGCTTCTTGGCAAATGTTCTCGACGTTTTATTTTTACGATTTATATATATATATTATATGTTGAAACAACATATTTTTAATGTTCCTAATTACGAAAGCCAGCCTTCGTAGAAGGCGCTAGCGGAGTTGTGTCTGGCGAACGAAGTGAGTAGTTAGGGGGTTTGGGGGGGGTGGCCCGGGAAGGGTACACGTAAACTCGGCACATGCTGGGGGGAGGAGGGTGCTTCGAGGGAAGGTTTTTTGAGGTTGTGTTGGAGGTGATTTTTGAGGGGTGGTGATGCAAGAAATGCCAAATGCATCATTTGCATCATTTGCGGCATGGTGATCGCATGGCAAGGGGTTTGTGGGGCTCGAAACGCAGGGGTTTCGAGCCCCACAAATTGAGGAACTTGGTTGTAGCGGTTTTTGTCCATGGCGATACTAGGCCTTGCAGCAATGCCTCTTCTCTGCTTGCTTCGACGCGCAGTTGTCGAAAAGGGGAAGCGCTGGCTTTCGTTTTGCAGCTTCTCAGGTTGTATATTCCATACTATTCTATTTCTTATCAATTTTTCAGTTTTGCGAGCAGTTCATCAGTGAGGTGTTTACTTGGCTTGGCCTATTTGGGCATCGCCTCCAGAAAGGTACCAATCTTTGGGTTGCTTTGCCAGGGGCGCAAGCCTTATCTCGTCGAATGACGAAGGCGCGAAGGGCAGCCTTTGTGAAGCGACAGAGTCAATCCTCTGGTGGTGGTCACCGCGACTACACCAGACATGAGGATGGAACGGTGTCAGGAGGACCAGACCTCCAGAGCTCGGCTATATACCCAGCTCCATTTTGCCGGCAAGTGTTCAAGGTTGCCAAGCTGGTGTTGGCAGGCTTTTGTATGCTGTAATGCTTTGTGTATCTTTGTGTGCGATTATGTATGATTATGTGCTATTTGATGCTATTTGTTTCTTGGTTCTTCTGTTGGTAAAGCCACTCACATCCACTCACTGAGGTGTGGCTCACTTGCTGGCAGACTTTGGAGGCAAAAACACTGTTCCAGACGCCGCTTTGGCCCATGCAACTGCAGCTGGATTGAGTCAGGGATAGAACTTGGCAGCTGTGGATTGCATTCAATCCCAAGAGTATCGTGTGCTTTTCCCTTGAGCAATCGGGGTGCAATACATGCTTTGAAGAAGTGGGCCTGGGAGAGTCTGAGCCGAGAAAAGTGCGGGGGGCCTTGGGGGGGCCAAAGTCTCTATAAATTGCAGTGTGTCCAATCCAGCCACTACAGAATGCATTGCCCCATACAGCCCCATACTCTCATGTGTTCTACAATGTTCTACATGCTGTTCTTTTTGTTTCAGCCATCTTCAACCCTTCCAGGAGCCCACAAAGAAGAAGAAGATCGAACCACAACGTGCAGTGCCCGAGGACTCCCACACAAGCATGCCGTCCGGATCCGCTACAGGTTGAATGGTGTTGGAAACAACCACTATGAAATGACAGTGTCCCAGCTCTTCACAGTGTCCCCAACAGTTTTGGATACAGCACTGAAATTTCTTCCTTGCAGGACGGGATTCCGATGAAGAAGGACAACAAGACACAGGACAGAGGGGCCAGATGGGGCCAGTGAAGCTGTGGTGGACACTAATGGCATCTAATGGCTAATATTGGCTAATGGATGCTCATGGATTTGGCAGTTTCCAGGGATGTTTGGGGATGTCCAGGGAAATACCAGTAGACAACTCTGTTTGTTAACATCCTATCATTTTGTAGTGATGCTCTTCGTGTAACGTCAATATGTAGTATTATGTAGTGAGGATGGCTGTTCTGGGTCCAGTGCTTCAGCATGCTTCAGCCATCTTCAACCCTTCCAGGAGCCCACAGAGAAGAAGAAGATCGAACCACAACCTGCAGTGACCGAGGACTCCCACACAAGCATGCCGTCCGGATCCGCTACAGGTTGAATGGTGTTAGAAACAACCACTATGAAATGACAGTGTCCCAGCTCTTCACAGTGTCCCCAACAGTTTTGGATACAGCACTGAAATTTCTTCCTTGCAGGACGGGATTCCGATGAAGAAGGA